TATAACTGAGTTATTTGTTAAAAGAGTTATGGAAAGTTCCGGTTTATGCATTTCTCTAAAAATATTTCAATGTAGTGTTAGTCATTTCGTAGTTAAGCTGCAAAACATTCAATGTAGTACGTAGAGTTTGTGGGTACTTCTGGGTTCAAGCAACTCTTCCTAGTAAGAGGGAAGGCCTCCGCACGGAATAATGTAATAGTTCGACGTAACGAACATAAACTGCGCAGAATGTAAAAAAAAATGGGAAAATATCACACCATTCAGAATACTAAGCAGCGCAGCAGGTAAAAAATACGAAAGGCGTCATAACATTTGGATTGAGACCACAACGTTAAAGGATTGGATTCTCGTGTATGGTAACCTCTGCAGAAGCATGAGAAAATAAGGGTTTATTTATTACCAGGAATCGAGACGAAAAGTCTGCTTAATAAATTGGAGCACAAACCTCTGTACTATCCCGTAATGAAAAAAAGAAAACAATTTTAGCATTAAGTAAAAAAAATATTAGGAGACTACTAAAATACACTGAGATGAATGACTCAAAGGAGAGGTGACCGAAAGAGCAGATTTGTCAAAGATTTGAAAGTTCGTGATTTTTTGAAAATCAAGTGATTTTGAGATTGATCAAAAATTACGACAATGGTCAAGGTGTGATTTGTAACAATGTTCAAATTTGATGATATTCTTTCTTTCTTTCCCCTTTGTGTGATTCTGTTCTATCTAATTTGTACTATCGTTAAATAGTTCTTTTTTCTATTTACGGATTGGAATTTATTTCAAAAATTTTAATGTACTTACATCATACGTAAAAACAAGTTTCTCCATATATTCCGTTTGAAGATTCAGCGTAATCTTCATAACAATAAAAAGAGCTAAATCTGTAGAGCTGTATTTTAAGTTTGCGCCTTAAAACCCATACTGTGAAATGTGATCTTTTTGTAAAGTTTTTTGCGTGTCTTTATTCAATTTAAAGGAAACAATCTTGGCTGATTAATATCTCTACTACTTAAAAAAGTACTTTGCAGGTAGGTTGTTACTTAAATGTACCGTAACGTTCTGTCTATGAAGAATTTGTCGTGTTTTACCCTAAAAACGCTGGTTAAAAATTGCCAACCATTTAATTTCTATCCATTTTAGATCAAGCATAAAAATTTTATAAAAAGTGGTATATTTTTATCAATATATGTTTAAAATTACATTCACTAAGACATGAAAAATGTTCGTGCAAGAAAAATAATACTTTATTTAAAAATGGCACGACATTTGCCAAAGCAATAAACAAATCTTTAGTTGAACACTAGTTTTTCACGATATATATTTTATTTTTAATTTATTTATTTACAGAGCTTGCAACGTTAATCCATTATAAAACATAAGCATCATCACAAAAACATATAATTAGTCTCAAATGGAATACTTGTACAAGTCCAATTTGTCAATAACGATTTTAAATTTAAGTTAGAAAATTAGCTAGAAAATTCGAAACTTAAGTTAGAAACTTAGTTAGAAAATTTATCAAGAGGAAATCTTTACTCTAATTGAATTGTTAATATGTTATAGATGTTTAGATGTTTTCAAAATCCTTAAAATTAGCAGATATGTAAAGTTATGCTTCAAAGATAAAGTAATTAAAATATACGTTAAGAATATCTATAAAGATGGAGCGTTTACGCACTTTTAGCCGAAAATGAATCAAAATTTACCATATTTATCTAAACCTGTTGATTGTAAACGCCCTACATATTCAAATGTAAACATTGGTGTTTAATTTATGAAATTGTAAGTTTTTTAATTTAAAAGAAATAACGTATTTATGGTTAAAACAATTTGCTTTCATGAATGATAATTAAGTATTGCAATTTTTACGTATAAAACAAAAATTTATTTTATATTTACAAAAATTTTAATACAAAAGCAAAAAACAACTGTTCTTTTTTAAATATATGTTAAATTTATACACTTGGAGCACGTACTGTTTTTACAAAAATTGCTAAAAATGGGTGGTTTGCTCCTTACCGGATGAAAAATAAATTTATAACATAAAAGTCACCAAGAACATTTAAAATTCTTGTTACGCAAAACTTCTCGAATGAATCCTTATTCATTTCTAATAACATAAGCAACACTCTTGAAGAAAATCCTGAATTATGCTAATGACATATTTGCAATTGAAATTAATGCAAGTTAATAACATTATTTTAATTTCAAACTAAAGCTAAGTGGAAGAATCATTACAGAGAAACGAAAGCTAATTCAGCTTTGTTTAGCAACGGTAAATATTATCTTGGCAATATTTTCTATCCTGTGTAACTCTAATGACTTAGTTTCATCTAAAACATACTCACGAGCTTACCAAGCGGAAAATTGAATACAGTTGGAAAAGAAAATTGAGCAAATAAATAACCTTTACGCCATTTGTTTGCTATTCTCATTATTTCTTTCTAGAAATAAGTAAGAAATTTTAAAAAAATAAAAATAAAGTTTCTTTCAAAACGTACGCTAGAGTTTTTTTAGTTTTTATGTTTAAACTAGTGGAAAATGATTTTTTTTTCTTTGAGAAATGAAAGGAAAAATAAATAAGATCAGTAAATAAAGCTCTAGTCTTAGTTCAAAGCTAAATAATATCATTTGTCATTATTTACATTGCCTCAGGATAGACCGTCTAAAACAAGTTTCATTTCAAACAGAAGTTTAATTAAACTCTCATCGACTTTTAATTTAAATTTTATTTAGCTTTTTCCGATATTTGTAGTGTTCAGTATATTAACAATTTATGAGATTGGTAAAAGGGTTCATTTGCATTATGATTATTTTTAGATTGAAGTTATAAAATTAAATTTAATCAAACATTCAATTAGTTCCTTTTTTAAAGAATTGATGATAACTACGCTTTTTTAATGCTTCGCAATTTTTAATGAAGTTTGCTTTTTTATACTTTTATGAAATTTTTCTTCTGAGAAGCTAAAGAGTTAATGCATTGACATTTATAAAAAGAAAGGAGATAATGAGGGATAAAACTTAAGATTTATAATAGAAATAATTTTCATGAATTTTGAGATAAAAGTTAGTAATCGGGAAATAATAAAATACAAAACTTCATATTTTGTGATAAATAATATTCATAAGCTCCATATAAATTTAACAAAAAAAAATCAACGATAAATGTAATTAAAGTATAACAAATCCAATTTTATTTATTTGCTTAATATCACATAAAATCCCTATGAAAATATTACTTATTATTTTATTACTTATTATCGTATTACATATTATATTATTTCTTATTAACTTATTGTTTAAAGTCTTATTGCTTATTATCTTAATAATTATTATCTTATGACTTATTATCTAATGATTTATTATCTTATTACTCATTATCTAATTACGTTTGTCAGTAAAATATTATTATTATTATTTTAAGCAATACAATTCCAGCAAATTATAAGATACCAATGAATATAAGTTTTAACTAAATCCTAACTTAGAATGCAAATTTTACTGGCTTAGCCAATAAATGTCGATAAATTTTGTATGAATTTTCCTGCCTTGTATTTTAATGGTGAATAATGCTTATATTAAAATTAATGTAACAAATTTACTACGTAGACAGATATTTCATTAACGATGATAAACACATAAAACTATATTAAAAATTAAGAATTCTGTGTTGTAGCAATTTTCCAAATAGTAGTTATCTTCTGTTTACGACATTTGAACCATCACTAGCTTCTAAGTTTGCCAATCTAATAAGTTAATATGTGTATCCCTTATAACCAGTATACAACTTCAATTATTCCCATCACCAATCCTAGTTAAAATTATTTTGATGCGGCGACACCGATAAAGATTTATTGTTGTTAATATTACTAAACCACGAATTCCAGAATTAGCTTCCTTTATTCTCATGAGAATTTTAACGATAAAATTGTAACTACTACTACCATTATCATAACGTTTTATAATTAAAGCAGTTTTATAATTATTTTTTCTTAATATTTTAAACCTAAAAATGAGAATGCTATTTTAATTACAGTCGTTATAAGAAAATTAGATAACAGGAATGTAATTATCTTTCTGCGCTATACATGTATTGAATTCGAATATTATTCACCCTTTGAGTTTAATCATTAGTGCTATATTCTGTCCCCCGGTTATTTGCTACAAAATGGCAGCCATTTATGTAATTATACACTCACTGATACCTACAACAACGGAAAAGTGAATAGAAATTCTATCAAAACTGCGTATAACAATTCATAAAACAATTATCTCGGGTTCACGATTCGGGAAATTAGCTATTGCAATCTGAATATCGAAAGATTAGTACATTTCAAATGTCCTTAGATTTTATAATGAAAATACTTGCGTTTCAGCATTTATAAATATTAACTATCTGAATTTCGCTATATCAATGTTGAAATAAATAATATTAAACTAAATTTGTTAATGTTATATATTTGAATAAATTTCCTTTCAGCACAATTGTTCTAAAAAGTTTAGATGAAACATATGGTTTTCTCTTGTTCATGTCAACGTCAATTATCTTATATACATTTATGAATTGTATCAATACTAATTATTCGCATCTCTGGGGCTGTTTAATAAAATTTTTAGAAAATGATATTCACCATATATTGAAATTTCTAAAGAATTCCAAAATGAAAAATATGAATAAATTAAAGTTTCCAGCAGAGATTAAAAAATACGGTATTTAGCATACAAAAAATAATTTTTTACAAATATCTTAATCTTGCAATATTGGTATTACAATAAACTTCTGTGAATGATATTTGAAAACTGTCTCTATCTAAAAATACTTCTTTAGACAAAAATAGTTCTAAAAAAAGTTTCGATACAAATTATCGTTGTGTTTAGTTTGTATTAATTAATTTTATTTATGATTTATATTCGTTAGTTTCATCGAAGGTTTATAAACATTTATCCCATTTATGTCTTATGTTACATATTTTTACTAGATAATGTTCTGTTTTTCATTTCAGCTGTCATTTGTCCGGTGCCAGAAAACCCACCTAATGGACGTGCCTTCTACACTTCTCTCTCTTACAACGCAGTTGTTAAATATGAATGCCGATATGGATACAAACTTGTTGGACAAGCAACAAGAACATGCAACACAAGTAAACAATGGGAGGGTACAGAATCCACTTGTGAAGGTAAATAAATATATTATAATATTACTTTTATGATAATGTATCAAAAAATATATCACACCCCATGCTTTAATTTATCGTTTTATATCAGGGGTTTCCAATTTACATGAGGCCGTTGGCAGCAATTAAAAACACCAGTCAAATGGCGGCCCACAACTTTATCAAAATTTTATATAGGACTCTTTTATGTTTCAAGGAACATTAAATATTACTGTCAGATTTTTATCAAAATTTTTTTAATATTATAAATCAATATAACAAGCAGTACAAATAATGCTTGTTACGTATCATTTTGAATCTTCTCTTAATCAGAAACTTAGTGACAAGATTTTTTTTTCTTTCAAATTTAATTCTGTGATAAATTTTTATTTTTATTTTATAACCGTCGTTGAACAGCCGATCCAATTTCATGGGCTTACGACTACTTACGTTCAACTCCGTAGCCTTGTAATTTTGAACCAATCCAGAAGACAACGAGGAAACTCCTGGATCAGTACCCCCAGAAGTATTGATTTGTGGTGACATGGNCCTGACAGATTTAACGTGCACCAGTCACACACTTCATTACACGGGGAGTCTTCGGCCGGCGAGGATCGAACCCACGACCTCCTGGCCCCATTATGACTTTTATAGCCTCATAATAGCCTCATAATTAAAAAAAAATTTCCGACTTATTAGGAATTATAGCAACAACAACAAAAAATTCTCGAGAGTATGAAATTAATTTTTTTTCCTTTCCGCTCATGCGATATTCAATTCAAGGAATTTACATAAAACATGATATTCGTTCCCTCTTTTAAAATTTACAATTGTAAATAATTTCGTCCAAAATTAGTGGTTTTAAAAAGTTAAATGAGAGAATTTCTTCCAGAAAATTTCTGATACGCACATGCTAATTATATTCACAAAATACAAAAAAACGAAATAAAAAAGAGCAACATATACAATTATTTTTGTATTTGAATAAATATTTTCTTGAATGCAAAACCTGAGAAACAAGTCTTTTTGCACCGTTGGTTTGTTACATTTCACAGAAACGAAGAAATTAAGTCATTTTGAGCAAAAGAAAAGTATTTTAAACCCATATGGAATTTTTACGAAAATTTTTCCCAAAAAACGACAACTAATATATTTCAGTTTCGCGGGCCGCCAGTTGGTAACCACTGCTTTATATAATGAATAATTACTGAACGATAACATGTATAATATCTTTTTCAAAATGTTTTGCCATATATTTTGTCATATGTTTTGCCCTAATGTTTTTTTCTACTGTACTGTACTTGTTACTATATTTTATGACTTTAAAGTACTAACCGATCAAATGTTCATTTACACAATCTAAATTACTATCATGCATGCATTATTACTAATTATAATTACATATTTTACAATATTAATTTATTACAGCTATATATTATTATCTTATCAATGTACAATACCCAATACTGCATTTTAAAAGTTATTTTGCGAATTTTAAATGCTAACACTGTTCCATGCATTTTCTGATGCTGATTATTATGCTGAATATTAATAACAGCCAAAACACTTAATTCACTTGCTCTACGATGTATTAAACTAATAACTTTGTTATACTTAATTAGAGCAATACATTATAGCAGAGCCGTCATGGCTCAGGAGATAGAGCGCTCGCCTCCCAGTGAAGTGACTCGAGTTCAAATCCCAACAATGACAGGTCGAGACAAATTTCACAACAGGCTCGCACAAACCATAGTGCTGACATAAAATATTCTTAGTGGAATGCGGAGCATGGATTAGAATCCCCTTGCCGTCAGGCTAAACCTGGAAGGTTTTCATAGCTGTCCTTTCCATGTAACGCAAATGTGGATTAGCTCCAACAAAAAGTCCTCCAAGAAGCTAAATTTCTCCAAATACTTGATACAAGAGTTCTCTTGTCTTCTGGAACAGGTTCAAACCTACTAGGTTACGAGTTCAATATTTCTAGTTGTAAACTCAAAATTGAGTCAGCTGTTCAACGACGGTTATAAAATAAAAAATGTATCATATCTGATGTGTTCACTTATTGGACAGTATTTATTTACTAAACCAGACATTATTCCGAGTATTTTTTTCAAAAGAGATATTATCCTTAACAGTCTTGGATACATAAAACAGTCTAAATAATTACCATACATATTTTATCTGTTATAACTTTGCTTCACAATCTTTTGCTTTTAACTTCTTTTTACTCAAGTATCTAAATATACTAAAGTCCTGCAACTTAAAAAAAAAGTATATTGCTTCACTGTTTCTTCTTTGAACTTTTCTGCTATAAAGTTTATAACTTCTCCAAGAATGGGGAAACTTCAAGTCTTTGCGAGACATTGCGAGTTTTATTATTTTTAGGTAAATACGTGAGGAGCTTTGTCTTTTCCGTAATAAGCTTTTTGGTTGCAAAGTTACTGAATTGCTTTGGTAACATGAAAAGCATTTTAGTCTTCTTACAAAAATCACTTTAGTTCTTTTGTTCTTCATTCAAATGAAGGAGTAAAAGGAAAGAAGTAGGTTTTACGAAAGAATCACTTTCTCTTTAAGATAAACTTAATTTGAATTTCAAAATATAATTTGCATGCAGATTATAAACTCGGTAATGTAATTAAAATCCTGCAAAATCCTTAATTCCTTAACTTCTTATGGATTGGGGTTTGCAAATTTTTATTAGTGATCATTTATGTACTTGGTATCATACATACCTCTCAATACACATTACCGTTCATTAATTTCAGTATATATATATATATATATAATATACTTCCCACATTGCATTACAATGTTAACCCATTGATACACTAACGTAAACAAGTGCAAACCGGTTTCAGTCATGTAAAAACAATAAAGCTATGAAAGTATCACCGATATAGTAATTAATATCACCTATATAGCTATATAGTAATTAAAATTTAACAATTAGACATACTATAACATATTATGTTATAGTGTGTCTAATTTTCTGGTCACTGTNGTTTGTATTAATAAGTGTGAGCCTCTGTTATAACGATGACCCGGTCGTTCCGGTAAACGACCGCTCGTACCGGGTTGCTCATCGTTTTAAGTTTAATAGACCTACAGCTTGCCCGGATGGGACCCTACAGGGTTGCTCCTTCCCCGGGTTCGCTGTAGGCCTAGAGTCATGTCTGTGAGTGTTTGTGTCTGTATTTTAATTGTATGCGGTCTTAAAGTGTTTGGATAGTATCATATCCGATCATTGAAAGTTTGTTATGGGATTATAATCTTTCGCTGGCGCAAAGATTATTATGCTTACATATATTTATTGTAATTATTTATATGTAGTGGTGGTCAACTTCATTTATAATTATAATTCAAAAAGTTAATTGGAATAACCCGAGTACTGCTATCATTTTAAAAATGAAAATAAAATCTTCCGGAAAATCCGAAAGAGTTGGCAGGTATGCATCAGTACTCGGCAGCTTAGGTCCAGCCATCGCTGAAAGCCCCTATATAGCAAGACGGAAAGGAGAAAAAATTGGTATGAAAGATATTTCATTCTAGCATTTTGTTCCAGAAAAATAAAATATCTGTAACTACCAGGATTTCCTTTATAATTTCAGCATATATATAAAACTGCTTCTTTTGAAAGTTAAAGAAGATATTGCTGAATAGTTTAAAAGAAGAACAAGCGGACTCCTCCCAAACACTATCTATAACTGAAACGGTTTTACTACCAGGCTTTCCTCTTTTCTGTCTCGCTTTCCCCCCTGTATATATATATATATATTTCAGTTTTTACTAGTAATTAACGTAGCAATGAACTGACGCATAAATGCTGTCGTCAATTCAACAGAGAAACAAATAAATTGCGTATTTTAGAAATACATATTTTATCATTAAGCTACCCAATTTTAGGAGACATCATCGTCACTCACACTGGAGAATTTATTGGTTCGCTTGTCCAAATTTTCTATTAAATTGTCATTATTTGGATTGTAAATCACCTGCAACAGATTGATTTGGCTTGTAATAATTATATCTCTGATATACCTATCCAAATTTTCATAAAATATTTTAATTAGATTACCGGTAACGCTCTGAGATGTTCAGATCATATTTTGGAGTCATATGTATTTTGATTTTTGATTTCATAGATCAAATTCAATATAGGATTCTGCCCTTTGGCAACGTGCCTGAAAGATACTATTACCTTTAATGAGTGAAATGAGATCAAAATAGCTTTACAAGCACAAATTACGTGAATATTAGATTAAGTGTCGTATTTTATATACATTAAGAGAAGTCGGTTGAACATATATGAATAATGCTAAAACTGATCTTTTTCAATGTACCTTTTCTCAGCATTTAAGCACGATATTGCTTCAGTTTTTTTTCACAGAATATTTACATATATATGCTTACACGGTGATAACTGTTTATTGTTATCTTTGGCAGAAAATCATTTTAAAAAATTACGAACTTAGAACTTTTAATTTTTATCAAGTTTTATCATTTTTGAGCAATAATTTTTCCTAATGTAAAAAGTATTCCTGTAACGCTAAAACATACTACTATTAAAATCTCAAATATTCCCAAAAATTTTCAAAACGATATCATATGTAGTTTCTTAAAGGTACATTGAAATAGAACAGTTTTAGCATTATTGATATATGCCCTACTAACTCCCATTAAAGAAAAACATAGAGAGTATTGAAATTAAAGAGTGGTAGTTTATTTGATAAAATTCTCTTTATTATATCTCCTCAATGTGTCATGCCCTAAAAATGTGTATTTATCTCTTATAGTGCATAGCTTTTTAAATATTAATTTTTTTCTAAACAAATACACAGTCTCTCTATTTAGAACATAACCAGTATGGTCATAATTGCAGTAAATTTTGCAAGTAAAACTTTTATCCAACATTTCTTTCCCTAAAGGTTAAACTTATAGCTTTTTAAATGCTTCCCTTTTCTGGTAATATATAAAATGAATAATTAAAAAAATTCACAATTGTGCAGGTGTTTACCATTAAAATCGGTCATATTAATTAGTTATAAAAACAAAGATTACAAATATTTTCTCCAAGTTTGAAAAAACTGAAGAAATTTGTTCCACGCACATCGTTTGCATCGTCTGATTGGTCTGCAAATCAAACACTCAACCTCTACCTCTTCAGCGGGTGCATATTCTGTGCTTTATTAAAGTTTAATGAAACACACTTAAATGTTAATCATAGAGATTATCAAACTATATCGTTGTTTAAAGCCTTCTGTCTTGTTTTTGTACCATACAGACTCTTTTAACTAGCCTACGTAGGACTAAGCCGCATAAACGAAAATAGAAGAATAGAAGTGACAAAAATAGAACCAAGAAATTCCGTGATGACATTAGTCGAATTAGTGATAGTTCATATAAAATGGTATGTTGGAGAAGAAATTCCAAACTTTCCAAATCGCGTCAATCTCAGGACAATAAGAGTTTTTCACATCGCAACAGTGCTATACCATACGTTGTGTAATATTCGGGAGACTGCTAATGTGGAAAGATTTTGCAAACATGCAATAAAAAGCTAACTTATCATTATTTTAAATAGATATAGTATTTTTTTTTACTGATATTCGAATTTTATCGTCGTTTTGAATAAAACATAGGCTTATTTAATGTATATGCTTAAAAATAAGTTTTTTTTTTAAAAAAAAAAAGTTTTTTTTTTGTCTACACTAGCCCCATTATGAGACTACTGTGGAGACGTTCTAAAATTATCATTCAATTTGTTTTTACTTATCAAAAAATCAGGTAAGGCAAAAATAAATTGAAAAATACAATTTAGTTAACAATAAGTCTAGCAATACATTTCAGTTTCATTTATGTCTAAAACTACAGTCCTAAGTGTATTTTAAAAATCTTCATAATAATTAATATTAGAGCTTAATGAATTTCTTAAATTTCAGATTCAATTTTAGTGAAAGTTTTCTTGGATATTTAAAGTGGTAGCAAATGTCGCAATTTAATATTTCGTTTTTGGTTTAATAAAGGTGATTTATAACGGTAAGGGTATCACGATATTTAAACTATTTTAAAAAATATATAAGACTTAATAATAGTGTGAGGAAGATTTTGATTGCAACAGTAATGCACTTAAATAATGCACCTAAATAATTAACAGTAATGCACGTAAATAATGAATGGATAATGAACCTAAGTTGTAAGTACTTAATACCGTAATTTGATCCGGAATTTTTTACATTGTACTAGCAATTAAGTCAGTGTCTAATTATGCTATGCTTTATATATCTTTATTAATGATTTCAATGTTTTTTTTGTGTAGAAATAAAATGTAAGGATCCGGGACCCTTCTATAATGGTTATTTTGAAGGCCGAAGTTTTAATTTAATGACAACACTGACCTTTCATTGCTATGAAGGAATGAGGATAGTTGGTTCAAAATCTGTGACTTGCAAGCAAGACGGAAACTGGTCAAAGCCATTTCCTCAGTGCTTAGGTAATTTTTCTTAAATCTTATATATTTATATTTTAGACTATCAAATGTATCTTCTGCTAAGTTTCAGTGTTCATCCTGATGACTATGTTTGCGTTATACTTTTGTTGAAAAATCGAACAATGTTTAAAAATCAAAATTTTGTTTGTAAGCTTTCTCAAAATGATCATCTGTTTAAAATTGTAATTGACTTCAATTTCCTAAGACAAAGACTTACGGTCAGAGAAAAATTTCCATAAATTAGGACTTAATTGAAGTTTGAGACTGTTTACTTGGACAATAATCAGTTTTTTTTAAGTTTTATTATTTTTGCATTGAAACGTTTATAGAAATAAAAGCAAAAACATCTTATTACGAATTTCATTTATTACAAAAATAGAATTATTAGTTTTCGAACTTGTTTATTATTATGAATTTTCCATCAATACCTTTAAAGCAAATTAGTATTTTGGATTCTGCAATTGACAATGCTTCATTATTTTTGTAAAATTACATTTTTTCATCTCTGTGAACATCTAACAACTTTTTTGATCCACGTAAGCAGGGAAAGGTGTAGTTTAAACTTTCCATTAAAATTGGAACTTAAAATAGCAATATCTAAAACTACAATTCACGTAGTTTTTTCATTTGCTTATTATTTTATTTATTTACTACTTATGGAAATAAGTAAATGTCAAATTAATTTCAAACATTAATACGATCAACCATATTGAATGAATTATAGTCATTTGAAAAAAGGTTTTAAATTTAAATAGCGTTATTAAAACTAATATTTAAAGAAAAAAAATATTTCCTATGGTAAAATAAAAATAGCTATTTTTTAAATTCAGGAATTTAAGTAAAAAAATCATTTTTTGCAAAATAATATTAAAAATACTTAAATAAATTGAAGTAGTTAAGTCAAAACTTAGTATCAGAACTAAAAGTCAAATGCTAAGTAATATCTAAGTACTAAAGCCAATTAATAGCAATTCTGATGGTCTTTTTTTTTTTGTTTTGAATGATTTTTTTGTGATTCTGTTTAATAACAGGTGTTCAATTTGTGATACATGAGAAAAAATTAATATAATTAGCCCAACTGCAACAGTAAAAAAAAATTTCAAATACCTTCCTAAACCAAAAGTGAAAATAGGCTTTTAAATCCCTCCCTGAACCAAAAGAGAAAAAAGTTTCGAACTCCCCTAAATTAAAAAAACATATATATTAGAAATTCTAACAATTCTTAGTGTTTTCCTTACAACATATTTATGAACCTCTTAACACGATAGTATAATTATTTACTTATAGTGTAATAAAGGAGTTATAAAATGGTTCCGCAAGAAATTTACAAATTCTCGTCTCAGTTATTACAAATTAAAGATACGTATAATTTCTTGTTTTTGTTTATTATATTTTTGTAATGACTTACTAAAACTGAACAATGTACACTGTAAAAAATTTCGAGCTTTGTTGCGCAAAACATTGGTATTCATTTCCTGGCTACATAAATTGGTGTTCAGTTTTGCTGTATTGGTGATTTCACTAGCTCCAAACAACGAGAGAAGGTTGCACCAAAAATGGGATTTTGAAAGAATCTAAAAGCAGCGAAAAGTTGCACCAAAAATCAGTGTTTTGAAAGGAACTAAAAGCGGAGGAAGGTTGCACTATGATTTGGTATTTTTGAAGGGAACTAAAAGCGAGGAAGGTTGCACCATTATTAAGTATTTTTAAAGCTCCAGAAAGCAGAGAAAATTAGCATCATTATTAAATATTTATAAAAAAAAGAAAAGATAATTTAAATCAAATTATAATTTAATTTTTTAAATCTATAAAAATTTATTAGAGTATTTTTATTTTAGACATAACACATATAAAATAAAAATAGTTTTTTGAATTTTATAAATTTAAATAATTAAATTATAATTTGATTTATATAAATTTGATTTAAATTATCTTCTCTTTTTCTATAAATATTTAATAATGATGCTTATTATCTCTGCTTTTTGGCGCTTTAGAAATATTTTCTTTCATATAAAAATTTTTTCTTTCTTCAAGTGGATATGTGTAAAATTAAAATTCTTTGTTACATTTCATTCGTTAAAGCACCCACAGATGCCATAGAGTTAGTACCACTAATAAATTAAAGAGAAAATAAAAAAGAATTTTAATTTTAGGCAGAAGCAAATTCTTATTACTATGTATTAGGAAATTATTTTATTATTTAAAAATGAAAGTATTACTTTCACAAATAAAAATTTATATAAAAGAGTAGACAAATATTGGATTGGTCAACCACCAATCTCTAGTTAAGGAAACATTCCAATATTATTTACATTGGTGTATGGAAATAATAAATTTGAAGTAAATTAAGAAATGCAAAAATAATGACATAACTTAGAAATATAAACAAAAAATAATACAGATCCAGATCAATATTTAAAGATAATTTATTCATTTACAATCACTTTGATATTTGTATACATAGACAGAATGTAATAATTTTTATGCAAAATCTTTAAATTTAAACATATCATACTTTTTATACATATTACAGCATTCGTTAAAAAAATGCAAAATATTCACTCAAAAATATGATAGATAGTGTGTTGTTACTAAAAAGGGCATTCAATTCAAACTTATTTTTAATTTCGAGTAATTTAAAATAAAAATTATGTTAGCATATGCCTCAATGTTTACGGTTTTGCTCATCTGAATTAAAATTTACAATATAACTAAATTCCTTTTTTGCATACATAATTTACTACTTGATAAAACAAAATTTAACCCTTCGTATCATCGCGTTACATATCTGCAACATACATGAAAATTCAATCCTATAATGAGTTGGATTTACCTATAAAATCGAACTAAATTCAGGTAAAGAAAATATTGCAAACTCGGGGGAATCAAATCTTGGTGCAGCTACCAAAATTATAATTCGTTTAGCAAGAATTGTTCCACGACATAATTGCAGGATATACAATTTTTTTACAACAATCCCCTTGATTGTATATTTGGCTAAGGAGGAATTGAAAAATGTGGTGTGAGACTTTGTTACCATAAAAGCAACAATTTCAAAATTTTTCACATGAAGTTTTAAATATATTGGAATTTTTGTGCTATTTTTCACGATATTGGAGATGTTCAACAAATGCTTTTTATAAATAAATTTTTAATTTTAAGGTCTTAATTTATTGATTATTTTTTACACGCTTAATATGATGTATTCTAACATCCGCATAAATATTTCTTAAATCAGAGTTGTTGAGTTACAAAGGGTTAAATTTCACTGAGTTTAGAAAAAAATACTGTCATTTTTTTTTTACAAATTAGTAAATAGTGGTGAAAGTGGTAAATAGTGGTCAAATAGTGGTAAATAGTGGTCAAAGCAAATCATATTTTAATTACTATTTTCAAAATACAATATTTAAAAAATTGAGAAATTGTTGTTCTTATGTGGAAAAAGGTTTGATATTTCTCCATCTGAAACATTTTTTTAGAGACCAACTATTTATAAGGGGGGGGTATTTTTATCTTAAGTCTCCTTTCACCCATGAAGATCCTCACGAGGAAAGTTTTGATATTTTGAAATACTATTATTTTTTTGTTGTTGTTGAAATGCATCAAAGCACCCAAGTAGAATTTTTTCCTCATGAGAAATTTTGAATTGAATTTCATGCAGGGACCCTGGAAAAAATTTGCAGAAGGTACTGTCAACTGTTAAAATATTAAATGAACAATATGATCATCACTTGTATAGATCAAAGAGTTCGTGTTGAGTCTAAGAGGGCGGGATATGGATGCTGATGAACACACAAGCAGTATTCATGTGGATGGTAATAAAACTCCACATGTATACTGATTGTAAAGATTGTCTTTTTAACTAAAGTTCTTTTGTTTCATAGAAGAAGATATATTTCAGAATTTTAAAAAAAATATTTTTATAATTAAAGTAAAACCATTTTTTAAAAAAAAATTTTAAAAAAAACTGTAAATATTATAAAGAATACATATGATCTTTTTCATGATCAATTATAACGTTCGATTATATGTTTATGTTGTCTTTTCCCTCCCTCACAAAACGCAAATGTGGGTAAATTACAAAAAATAATAATAATTCATGGAAAAATAAGTATCTAAAACAAAGTATCTATGAGCATCTAAGTATTTTTTTTTATTTAGATTCAATGAAAAATATATTTATTAACTTTTTAAATACGATATTTTGTTCAATTTAAAATTTTGTTCACTTATTAAAAAAATATTAATAAGAAAATCTGTTTTTAAACAAAATTATAATAAGAAACAAGCTTATTTCTAAATGCTCTAGAACAAATCTTGTTCTCGTCGGTATTTTGTTCAAATTTCAGTAAGATTCTTGGTTAATAAAAAAAAAACACTCTGTTTTCTTTAACGCTAAGATGTTTATTTGTTGTTGTTTTTACCTACCTCGTGCGCCAAAGAGAAACCCAGTTTGCATGACAACGGTTGCTTTTCTCTCTAGTGCTAATTTGAGTATAATTCGCTTTGAAAATTTTACAACAGAGGCATTTAAGAATGCATAGACAAAAATTCGTGTAATTATGTGACATTACAAACGAAAATGAGCAATATAGAACATGAAAATGAAAACAGAAGCATAGATATTTATAAAAAGTTTTAGTCCTAACAGAAAGTACATACGATTGTTTTGTTCGGTAGAATGCAAATCCAACACGGAACTAGAACATTTTCACCAGCAGTAAATTTGGCGGAAAGCTTTGTTGCCTAGGATTGCCGTATTTATCGTTTATTTGTCACTGGTATTGTACTTTCTGTGCGCAAAAAATGGATGTATCTCCTTATTTACTGAAAAAGAGCTAATATAGATTTTACAATATCTAATATTTCATACAACGAATATAGTTTCCTAGAGGAAATTTGAATCTAACTCTTTCAGAACACACAACAAAATTTTTAAAGATGACAAAAAGAAATGAACTGTAATTATTGCAAATAAATAAGAAAAGTTTACTTACTTGCAAAAGAAATTGACGATTTCAAAGAACAACTTGCATGAGATGATAGCAAGCTTCAACAACAAAATCGTGTCAATAGCTACAAAATAAGTTATCGGTCACAGTTAAAGCTCGTGCCTGTCGTAGTACGAAAGTTAGGTGCAATCGATTAAGGCCATAAACGCATTTCTTGATCATATTTACCAATTTACCGCGCAACCTAATTAAAATAATTTTTTATTTATCCAATTTATGGTGCAATTGGAAACTTTGCCCAAGTATTGGTTAAACATTAACCGAGATTTTTTGCAGTGTAGAACCAAAACCTAGTGGACCCATCTCAGTTTTCATGACCTCGGATTTTTTATTCAATTGATAAAAATAGACGGAAAGATATGCCCTAGTCACTGCAAAAGTTTAAAATCTGAACTCAGCAATGATTGACTATTTCCTTGAGTCATGACTCAGAAAAGTTCTTTTTTTTTATTAAGAGAAAGAATGAAAGTGAATTACACATTTATTAATAGCAAAACAATTTTTTTTTGAAATTTGAAATACTCTAATTAATAATAAATTTGGAAATATTCAAATAGTAAATTCGAGAAAACGAAAGCAAATATGTATATAAAACGTCAAAAACTATGTGAGTAAATTTTACAGCAAATTGAAAGGTGCGGAAAAATACTTATAAATATCTGATGTGAGACATTTTAGAAACTTTTTTGTTTACATTTTTTTATACATTCTCTTTGAAATTCGTCTTTGCAGAGTAAAGAAAAAGTTTTTCGCTTATCTCGAAAAGCAAATTCGACTTTCTTGGAATTTTGGTCAGAAATTTAGATTTACCTTTCGGTACAACAATGGATTTTATTTAATGGATTGATAAAAAACATATGTAACTATTATTACACTTAAATATAGAAAATTCCAAAGCATGTATATTAAAATATTGGTTTAAGAAACGAAAAAACATAACTAATATATATTTTTGTAAAACCATCTTTTCCTTGTTAAAATGTTTCCATAGATGTGCACTGACATTTATTTGTAATATATCTATCATTATAATATATACCATATCTAAAATGGTACTCACATATATAATAATGTTTTCTTCCTGTATATTATTATACTTTTCAAATTTAGATTAAAAATTTTCTATTACGATAAAATTTAGCTTTATATTTTAAATACAAAAACAAAATTTAAACATATATTTCTAATTTTATGTATGATAATAACAAATAAATACATTTAATTAAAAACAAATGTTAACATTAGTTTACTAAACTTAGCTGCAAAAATTATAGCTAAACTTATTTCATTATCTTCGATTTGACTGAGTGTAAACACTCGGCAGGAAACACTGAGCTGAGTGTAAACACTCAGTAGGAAACACTTATCTGAGACAAACACTCACACTCAATAGCATCGTGCTATTTTATGAGTGTAAACACTCATAAAATAGCAGGATGCTGAATAGCGTAGAATAGCAGGACTTAACTGGAACGTAATATTACGTCCAAAACAGGGTAAATAAAATATCATATCGTATAATAATAAGTCAAATAGAGGTAACGGGTTAAAACATGTTAAAGGGCATTTGGAAAATTAAATGAAAAGCAACTTGCACGTTTTGCTAATAATGGCAAGCTGACTGCAAAACGATTTTTTAAAAGCTGCATAGAAAAAATTTAATTTTCAAACCTTCTGTTCTACCGGGTATTATCTATTCCTTGAGTCAAAATGTCAATTGACACGTTATCCCAATGAGCTACAAAGTTGAAATCTCATTAAATTAAAAAAAATATATATATCCTGAAATAAAAGAATAAAAATGCAATACTTTATTTAAATTTTACCTAAATTTAAAAAGGAAACAAGTGTTAAAGCATTAAAAAAGAATCTTTTTTAACTCATGCGCTGCATATAAAATACGTGCTTGAACTTTCAGAAGAAAAATAAATTGCTTTCAAATCTGAAACAATTGAAATGCTACAATGACTTACATCTGTTTCCTCTTCAACAGTCAATACTAATTGAGTGAGCTGAGTTTGCCCGCCCGAGAGCAACACTTCAAACAAGCTTGTTGACATTTAACTGTTCCACGGTAAAATGATGACAGTTTTCAGTACTAAGGGAATTTGTTCTGCTCACTAAAGTAGACAACAATAAATTAGTAGAAAATAAACTCTGAAAATTTAAATGATTAATGTAACTGTTTGTGCCACTGATATTTATTTTTTTCGTTTTGTCTCGAGAGTTATTAAAACAATTAAGAATTAAAATTGGTTTTTAGTTAAGAATATATTATCTGATCGATAATTGCATTTTTCCAGATGTGTGTTAGCTATTTTTAAAATCTTACTGTTATTAAGTTTAAAATTTTTAAGTTTTTTTTTCCTTTCGTATAATCTCTGTAAGCATTTTCAGGAATTAAAAAAAAAATACTTTCAATGAATTTAAAATGGTTTCTAATGTAAAAACTATAACATACTGTCATTCAAGAATAGTGATAACAGATTTTCTATCATTTAAATATTTAATTTATATTTCATCTAAACCTATTCGAAATAAATATAATCATTACTATCTTTTTAATTGTATTACTGCTGAAATCATTAATTGTATTAGTATATCTTTCTTTAAATACGTTCACAAAAATAATTCAGACTGTTAAATATTTCGCTGAGAAAAAAGACATGACGGTTCTTTATACCGTAATTTGATCTTGAATTTTTTTACAGTATAATTCACTCACCCTCTTGAGTAATTCTAGCAACTAAAAATACAGTAATCATATTTCAATTTATAATAAATTAACTATTTTAAAAAATATAATACATCCCCAATGTTTAACAAACACATATATGTCCATACGTACATTATATGTGCCTTTGGACAAAATAAAGTTGTTTCATTTCCTTTCTTTCTTTTTCAGCACCATGCATTGTGCCTGAAATGGAGCATGGAAATTTTACTGATTATGTGCCTGGTTCTAAAGTTCCCCACGGTTATGAAATGAATATCACATGTGAACCTCGCTATGATGTCATTCTCAACGCCACACCTGTAGTTTGCAGTAATGGTACATGGACACATGTCCCAGTATGTGTTCCTGGTAAGAAGTAGCTTTTGTTTGAAGATCACTAGATAATTGGACTATTTCATATTCAGTTAATGAATAAATAGCTTAACTCCATAAGAATATTAGAAGATATAGAAATTACAGGAAGATAAATTTCTGATCAACCGAAAATCAATATTCAAAAAAAGTTGAATTCAAAAATAAAGGATTTTTTCATTTCGCTGCTAAACGATAGGTACAAACATTCAAATTAATTTTCGTACAAATACAAGCAATTGGAGAGTGATTAAAAATTCTTCGAAACATTTTATTTACGAAACCCTGTCACCAAGATAGGGAAATGATTACAATAGACCTCGCAGATCTTTTTATTGGATTAGAACTGAACCGCGATGACTCAGAGGTGCACTTGCCTCTCAAAGAGGTAACCGGGTCCGAGTTTCAGGCTGGTCAATACGAATTTCGCGCAGACCAAAGTGCTGGCGTCAGTGGTAGTCGGATCAAGAGCAAGAGTCCCTTCACCACCTAGGTAACTGTGGGCGATGATTTTCCTCAAAGAGTCTTCCACTTAAGCTAGTCTGCCCCAATGCTTGATCTGGGAATTCCCTTGTCTTTTGGGTTGAGTAAAAAATACAAGGCTACGACGGAGCTTAATATTCATAGTTGTAAACTCAGATTATCACTGTATGCACCAGCCCGCATGCTTATGATTGATGTGGTTATCATTGGTTGCAAGCTTTTCCTTAAATTAAATATTTAGCACTCAAAAAGCATAGGAACAGTTCAACAATTTCGATATGTATGAAATGATATAAGAATAACAATCAGTTAAGGCCAATCTGATATCTGTAGAGAGCGGGTGAACTATATACAACAGAAAATACAGTTGCAAGACGCAGACTTCAGCCCCATTCCTTCAGGAAATCCCACATTACTGACTTTGATTGTTCCAGAATCTTAGCATCAACAATTACAAGACTAAGAACAAACCACTTTAAAGGGATGCAAATTCTTCCAGACAAAATAAGAACTTATATTCCCTGCAAGAACTGCACCGATATCCAACTTACCCCGGATCATATTCTCCAGTGCCCAGCCCTTACCCCATATGTTTTACAACTGGGTATGGTGCCACTGGCTTCAGAACTTCGTGAGATCCTCTACAGTAATGATGTAGAACGTTAGAAATTTACTTCAGCTCGGTACACAGCCGCGTAGCGGCTTTAACCGATTCATCGGATGTGGGATAGATAGATGATGTTGGTTCAGACACTTTTCAGCTCCAGGGAGAGGAAGAATCTGTAAAAAAAAGAGAAAAAATCACAGCAAGCTGCGATTACAAAAAACAAAAAGCTGGGGAGGCGTGGTCTCCTGGATGCTGGCTCGTGGTTGGCCGGTCGTCTAGGTCTGAGTCTCTGGTAGCAAGGAACGAAGAAGCTTTACAAGCTCTTCATCTTTTAAGAGTTCTTTCATCTCAGAAAAAAGTCGTGAAAAACGACTTGCAGAATCAGTTATTTTCTTGGGAACTGTCTTTTTTCCTTCGGGCACTTTCCTGGGTCTTGCACCACAGCCCGAAAAACAGACTGGGTGCTCACCGTTGCAGTTAACACAGATCGCCGGTTCGGAGATAGACTTCGTACATTCGTACGAGTAATGGGCTTTAGCACACTTTAGGAAGGCGGGATCAGCTGTACAACTACGATGGGTATGTCCGAATTTTTGGCATCTGTAGCACTGTATTTGAAAACGTCCCCCTCGAAAACGCTCGATCTGTACTTCTCTCTCTAGCATAGAACTTATATTAAAGATGTTTCTGCTGGATCTGGATTCTGATTGGATGATCAGGAGAAGTGGGAGGGGCCTGAGGCCCTGTCCGCTTCTCTTCTTGAGTTGGATAATTTTTTCGGGAAAAAGTCCAAATTTTTTTAGATATTTGTCCAATTCAGGAATTTCAGTATCAGATTTTAATCCTCGGATGAGGGTTTTCAATTTTCTACTCAGTGGAGAGTCCTTAGGTGTTGGGGTAGGCTTGCGGATGCAGTTTCGAAGGCACACGAGGCCATTTAATTGTCGATGGACACTATAAAAATAGAGGGTGATTTCAAGTGGGACTGTTATCATTTGGCTCAATAGACATAAAAGGATGGGAAACTATTTTGATGATAATCTGAATTTTTAAATGATAAAGCTCAAAACATCTTGTGCGAGGTTAATTATTTCTAAATCAGGATTAAAATATACCTTAAAACTGAATTTTGCATTTAAAAAGTATGTAGTTTTAATTTCAGAATTTTTGCTAGAATTATCAAATAAAAAATAATTCTTGGAAACATTTGAAAACAAATGTATACCAGAAATTATTTTCTACGTAGAAAATTAGAAAATGAAAAGCAGATTAACTGTTTAGTATACAAATAAACACTGATGGGGAAAGTTTTTACTAAAAAAATTGGGAATGCACTTTAAAATTAAAATCGAATAAATGTATTAAATTAATGACGATATGAAATATATTAAATTAGCAATTATATGGAAGGTATTAAATTATTGCAATATATAAAATTCTTGTTTTATTCGTAGGTTCCAAATTATCAATACAAATAAAATTGCTTTTATTTTTCTTCTTTTGGCAAGTCAATTCTGTAATGTTTTATGAGATGTAATTTCTTTTAAAATCTAAAATATGAAATTATTCACAGCGGAGTGTATCATGAATGAGTTAAAATAATTCCTAGAGTGTTCTAGATAGTCTTTCAAATTAACTAAGAAAATTCTTTACCGATTTGACAAGAAAAGAGTTTTATTATTTGGAAAATACTGAGTTAAAATAAATTAAAATATTTCATATATAAAAGATTAGTTTATATATAAAACAGACTCTTTTGTTTATATTTCTTATTCCAGGTACTTTTAGAGAATTCAAACAAACTATGTTAATTAGTATGAGTTAGTACGTCTTTTTGACATTGCAGGTCAAATTTTCAATTTTTTTTTCATCATTCCAATTTTTCTGACTATTTTTTTTAAAATTGAACTTACAAATGGTTTTTAAACAGTGAATAACATAGTAGGGATACTCATCAGTGATAAACAAACATTTAAGCTTGTATTTAATCAATTTGATAAATATATACGTTCCATGAAAATTGAATAAAAAATATTTGATTACGAAAAGAATCCAAATGACTTATTAAGAAGTTTTCATTTATTCTGCTCCTTAAATCATATTTTAAAAATCATTGCAAATTGATAAATTTTTAAATATCTTTATCGTTTTTTGATGTTCTTTTCTTTATGAAAAGGAAAATAATTTTAAGACCTTAAATCATCTAAGACATAGAAAAATTCCATTTTTGAAAGAATAAATCAATTGTCTAAATAATTCATATCATTTAAGAAAAATCACTTTTATGGCAACTACGGTTTTGTTTACGGCTAAATAATAACTTTTTGAAATCAAGCCAAAATATTTTAAGGTTTTCTTCCTTTATAATTTCAATGCAATAAGCGAATTCATTTTATTCCAGCATTTCTACATACGAATCTTGTAGCGATATTTTTTTCATGATAAAGAATGGAAACAGTTTTATGCACTGAAAATTTCCCTATCCTAATCCAAAGCTTCGATAAATTCTTAAAATATTACGAAGTTCTAAATGCACTTATTTCAAAACATAAGTTGAGGATTTGGATTTTAATATCTTTTTCATTTTTTTTGATCGGATAAATTCTTCTTCTAATTTAATCAATTCAATAATTTTTACTACATAGAAAAATCATAATTTTTAGACAATAAAATTTAAGAGATTTGTTTCTTTTTTTAAAAAAGAAATAGAAGTCTTTAAAGACTCTAATTTTATTCACAAACTTAATCTTATTCATGATTCAGTTTCATAGATTCAAATGATAGGTTCGCAAAATTATTATTATAAACTTAAGTCATCATAATTCTTATTCGTAGGTCATAAAAGTTTAAAAGATACACACGATTTAAATCATTACTCTTATAAAGAGTTCAAACTCTTTCAAAGCTTAATCTTAAGAACTTCAAACTCTCAGCTGAGAACGTGACGTCTACCATAAAGGCCAATCACTTTCTAAACTTTAAAGCTTTGTGTCCCGATAATTTTTAGCTCAAAGTTTTCGCATCTCAAATTTAAAGCTTTTGAGCAAGTGTGTATAATAAATTTCAACGTATCAACTCTTTACTTGATACGCCGCTTTAAAATTTTTACGATCTTCCGAAGCAAACTCAACTAAAGCAGCTCATTAAGAAAAGTGAAATATGGATATTTAAAAGCAAATCTCTTCAAACATTCTTTAATAATTTGAAGAGGGTAGTTTATATTTTATAGGATGAAATAAATATTTATTTTAATTTAAACACTTTAAGAAAGATAATTGAATGAAGTTTCATAAGATTAATATCTAAAATATGATAATAGAGAAAAGTAAATTTTGTATCATTATTTATCTTGGTGACATCACATTTTAATGCATTTCATAAACTTCGACAAATTAAATATGGGTGAATGCAAAAAATAACAGGATTTTAGGAAGCAACAATAAAGAAATTTTAATCAATTTAATTTAAAATAATTATTACATTATGCATAGGAAACATAGAGGTTTGACCCACGCTATTTTTTACATTGACACATTTAATTAGCTAATGGACATCATGCTGTAACATGATACTTCTACCGAGCACCCTGGAGGAGCAATCGCTGGTGGTGAGCTAGAGTTCATGAGTCCGATCCTGGCAGCCGACTAAGCAAACAGCGTGAATACGTAGCAAGGTGCACATTAAATCACTTGCAGTAAAAATTTGTTAGTTACCGTGGTTAAGTTTGGAGAGAGGGGTGCTAGATCAGGCGCTGTCCACGTCGTCTGACTGACTGGGGTCAAAATTACGTAAAATTCCTACAATGCCAGTTAAAAGATTGAGCCACGAAAACAGGGCTACGTGTTTGACCATGGTTTAGTGATGTACGTTGTTTTTGCCTATAAACTATTTGAATGTAAAATCAAGATGAAATCCTGAGTGATATCATTTAATTTTTATAATGAATTTTTTTTTCAATTTCTCCTCTTCTGTGCCATCGGTACTTTCTGCACTTAGAATACTATTATCTTACTTTTTTACAAATTAATTTTTGAAAAAGGCTTAAGTCATCACAATAAAAGGGAATTTAAACAGGCATTCATATCAAAAAAAATTGTAAAGAGGCAATAATATGAAAAAAACATGAAGTCATACATATTTATATTAAAAGAAAATCAAAAGGCGAACAAAAAAGGAATAACAAAATCATTTTTCTTCTTGTTCTATTTACTGGTTCTAACTAAATGATTTCTGGTTTTCATCAATAAATAAACACTTGATAGTTCTTTTTAGACACATTTATGACTTGTAATGATCATTAGACAATTTAATCACGTATTTTAAATTTTATTAATGCTATCAAATATGGGGATTTGACTTAGTTTGTACTCTCTTTAAATCCCATTAAAAACAATAGCTCATAAACTGAGTAATATTACTTATGTAATTTCAATAATAATAAGCCATTTAATGCAAAATATTAGGGGAGAGTTGAGTCAATTGTAACATTTTTTACTTAACTATTTTTAACTAACAAAAAATCCAATATATTATTAGTATTAATTGACAGACACGTAAAGTAGACTATCCTCTACTAGAAAAAAAAAAAAATACCTTATTTTAAATGTTATTATATTAGTTATTAACAATTTTTGACAGTCGTGCACTTGTTATAATTGTCCCCACTTACGGGGTCAATTGTAACAGTTCATAAATTCAACTAAAACATAGTTAATTATACATATTATCATAATTGTGATATATTTTTTTATTGATCAAAATAGCAGTGATATTTTAGGAGTAAAAATAATAATGAGCAGAGACCTAAAGGGTTAAACTTTTAACTTTAAGGGGTTAAAAATTTTAATTTATGCTGTGAAAGGTGACAAATAAAATAATGCACATGCAACATAATATAAATGATATAGGAAACTATTGGTGGTTCTTAAAGAGTTAAGTAATGGTTTGTAAACATAAGATTATTTATTTTCAGCTGTTACAATCGTCCCTTTACTTATTGTTACAATTGTCCCCAAGACGCCATTTCAGCTTCATTTGTTAAAAACAATGCTAGTTAATTAGCAAAACTTAACTTTTTTTTTATTGAAATGTTAATTAAAGTGTCCACTTACATCTAATATCGTCACCAGTAGCTTGTTTAAACAAAATTACTTTGTTACAATATAATATTCTAATACCAAAAAAAGTACTTACGTTGCGTGAAAATATCTTTTGTGATGTAACTCTTTCAAAATTACATAAAAAAAGTTGCCAGCAGGGGTGTACATGTAGATTTATTAAATACACCTTGTGCGCCACCTAGGAACCAAATCTAGAATCCGACACTCGAAATTTTTGCTCTGTTACAATCGTACCCTGTTACAATTGACCCCACTCTCCCCTAAGTTTTATTGTGTGAATTAAAATATAGAAGACTGTTTCTATAACAAGCGTATCAATTTTCTCATATTTTTTCGGCTAATCCATTTAAATCGTATGAATTAAATGGATTAGCCGAATCGTAATTAAAATCGTATGAAGACTGAAAACTAAAAAAATTTAAAAGTTTTATAACTTATGAGCATTTAAAAATATTAAAATTGTTTAGATTTAAAATTGATTAGACAAAAAGCAAAGGAGGGAAACAAAATTGATTTTTCAGCATACTTTCAACATAGTTATACATTCAAATAAGTAACTTCAGCAGCTTGACTTACTTCATTTCACTTATGTCTCTATAACATTCAGGCAATTATTCTCTTTTCATTAATTCATTTGAAATCCTAGTCACACTCAATTAACGAATGAATTCTTAACAAATAATTCAAGCGTAACGCCATTAGGGTTAATTTTAAAACGAAAAAGGAGAGAGAAAAAATCTTTCCTTTCTGAAAGTAAGCCGAAATTGCTCATTTTGAGCCAAAGTATGCAAGTAAAACCACATGCTTCAACTACTACGAATGTACAAAACATTCAACATTTTGCTGGGGGCTTGATTACTAAACATTCTGATCCCTTAAAACTCCTTAAATCTTGCAGACAATGCTCACACCGTAATTAAATTTCATTCTCTCGTGCAGTTGTGTGACATGGCTCAGCAAACGATCATTAAAATAGCACGTTCTAAAAGAGGGCGGGCGAATGGTGCTCCTCTTTAATTAGCTCTAATTAGAATAATTAGCGTAGGGTCTTGGTGCTTCTAAACCACCACTGTTGGCAATGTAATAAGGAAAAGTTGAATAATTAAAAAATAATTGACCATCAAAAAAGTCAGAAAATCACTTTTTTGCGGCTGCTTTTTGTACCAACATCAAATATGTGTTCTCTTTTACACTAAAAAACGGCTTATTCTGGTTTTTCCATGACGTGATAATGGTGCGAGAAGCGTAATTAGCTACACTTTTTTTATGTTTATTTCGCCAAAATGGGGCAAATAAAGAACAGAATAACCTTTCACTTTTTTCTTTTCATTTTACCTTGTTTGAGTAATCTTATGTTTTCTTAAAGGAAAAGAGAATTTCAGAGTATTTGCAGTATTTTCTTTATTAGCGAAGTATAAAAAAGAAACAATACTCTTTGTAGTCCCTCTCTGTTCACGAGCTACTTAAGAGAAAACTCAACTCAGCATGACCTAATCCCTTATGTTTATTATTTGCGGAATTAATTGGACGAAGTTGAAAAAAAATAAGTTTAAAATCGAGTAATCCAAATTTTATACTTAAAAAATGAGCTTACCTAGCCTAATTAAAACTAATTCTTAGATTTTATGTAAGACTATTAAAAACAAATAAAGTTACACAATATTTTTTTATCATTTATGATAAATTTTTTGCCTCAAAAAATAAAATAAATGGTAATTACCTTTAATTACAAGTTCAGATTTGTTAGATTTTGACATTTTTTTTTCCTTTATTGACTCCGACTCACTACTTGTTGACTTTTTTATATGAAGTTGCTCTTTTTATTGATAGTTTTACGTTTTGCATGAAAAAATTTATTCAAAAGATCTAGAAGCTATTAAATAAGCAAAAAGATATTTTGAATGAAATTTTGAATCAAAAAATTAGTTACTTCAAGTACTTAGATTAATTTTTATTTACCTTTAACTGATTAAACTCATTTCCACAAAATCGGGGAGTTAAAAAGGGACTAGCAAAATTATAGTAAAAAAGTGATAAATAAAATATTTAAATCCTTAAAATGTACAGGCGTTTATATGGATACAAACTTTTAAGAAATTGGAAAAACAAATGGAAAATCAAGTGAAATTACATTGAATACCAAATGTTGCAAATTGACCGGAAATTTAAGAAATCAATTTAAAAAAATGAACGGGATAGAAATTTTCGATTTACTGTATTCGACTCAGGAAACTAGGTGTTATCCACACAGAATTGGTTTCAAAGTTGTAATTGGCAGTGATGCTGAGCGGAAAAATTAATAAACAAAATTTTGCCAACATATGTAGCAACATTGTGGCTCAGATATAGCAACAACGTGAAGTGATGTTAGTGTAAAGGTGTCAGAATGGTCTGACATAAAACAAAAAATTCGTTTTGAAGATTCTCATTAACCTCTGGTGATGTATTTTGCTTGTCTGGTGATGTATTCTGGTGATGTATTTGTGATGTAATTTGAAACTTGCTAAGAATAAAATCTTCGTTTTCTTCAGAAGAACGCAGCAAGCCTCACATTTACATTTCTTGCTTCTTGTCTAAATTATTTTTTGTCTGTAACTTTTGTGGCAACTAGCACTATTTGTGAAATTTTTCTTAAGAATGTGTAGAATCATCGAGAAAACATCACTTTCTATTGAAAATTTGCTTAAACTAGTTACTTAATGAAACTGATTACTGCTCAAAATTTAAAGCCGATCATTGCACGTTGCAAACTTGCTGCTTTTAAAAAGTAATTTAAAGATTTTTTTGCAAAATGTAATTCAATATATTTTTCAAATTTTGTTTTAGTTTATCCAAACTGGACATAAGATTTCAAATATCATTTCATGCTTAATTCAAGTTATTTGAGAAACACTCAAAGAACTGAAAGTTTACGGAATCAAATTTCGTATATTTCTAGTTTTGATATTCATGAATAAAAATCTTAACAATGTCAGTAATTACAGAGAATTCAAATTAAGGACAAAGGGATAAAAATATTTCGTAAATTAAAAGATGGGAAAAATTATGAATGGAATCTCAAAAATTTTTTTGCAGACGGAAAAATACAACACTTCCCAAGTAAATTACAATTGCTGAATTTTTGAACGTCTCATTATGGAATGTTATTTGCAGGATAAAGTTCGATAAATTCTTTGACTGGTATTTCTATTAACTACATTTATTAAATGAACTTTTAATCAAAACTATCAAAACTTTTGCATTGCAAGGATTTTTCGAGCAGCTCTTTAATTTAAAATATGTTTAGAATAGTGTCAGTAAAGGCATTTTTAAGCCAGTATCTGCAAAGAAAAGTCTAAACTATAGGATTTTTCTGGAAAAAAATGATGCCCCTTTTTTGAACATTTTGAATACACATTATACGTTTTATATAAATTATTAATCTATTTTCATTTTTAAATAGATTCTATATTTTTTAAAAATCAGAAATAATTTTATAAATTTGTTAATTTTACGAATATGTTTAATTTTCCAAACATGTTATGTATGTTTCAGTTTTATCATGATACCTTAGATCATGATACAAAAACCATTCATTTGGTTAAATTTTTTCCGTATGATATATTTCTAAATGTGTGATATTTAGAACTATGATTTTAAAAGCTCAAAATTCCAGTAAATTTCCAACCAGGAAAATTCCAGCATATGAACGGAATAATTGCAAAAGTAATGGTTTAAATACCGTATATATTAATTTATTTCTAAAATTATATATATTTTTTTCGAAAATGCTATTACCATACAGTTTAATAATTTTACCAGAATGTTTTTCGCCTTGCAGAAAAAATAACGTCTTTATATTTATTACATAAATTTAGAGTACGATTTAATTCGGACCTTTGAACTCGAACTTAATGTAATTAAATGATTATCCAAAATATCAAATACTTTTTTTTTAAATTAATTAGTATGCGAAGATTAATTTGAATTTAACTGCAAGGAAATTTTTATATTTTCAATGCAATTATATAATATATAATAGAAGTGTTATAAGTAATAAACCAGTTAAAAAAGTCTTTCAGGAGCTCAATCTTTTGATAAATTAGAAATATTCACGAAAATCACAATAGTGTTTCAATTTAAATTTTATTTTTAGAAAATAACTAGTTGAAAAAGAATTATTTGTATATTATTATATCACAATACAATAAGTATAATTGTTGAAATGGCCGACCGGCTTATGTAGGGGGCAGGGAACTGTCCTTGGATCAGAAAGGTTCTGGGTTCGAATCCCGGGCAAGGCATGGATGTTTCTTTCTCTCTATCTGTGTTCTATGTCCTTTCTCCTTTGTGTGTGAATGTGACCCGCCCTATAAACGGGTTGTGGTAGTGTGACGTGGGCGACGCTGCTCCACCGCCGTGACTTCGCCACAGGTGCCCACTGAGTAACTAAAAGAGAGTTAGCAGTTCTGGTACTTTCTGTGGCCAATGGACAATAGTTCCAAGTGCCCGCCATTAAAAAAAGAAAATAAATTAAATCTACAACAATTTTAGAACTAATTAAGAAATTTTATCCCATTCTTAAAAACTTACTTTAGCGGTACTTTATTCCTGGACTTTTTACGATGTTTTTTACCTAGCTTTTCCTTTTGGGATTTTTTTTTTTTTTTTTTTTTTTTTTTTTTTTTTATTATTTTTTGTCTATCGAGAAACGGATAAGATTTAATAAAAGGCAAAAACAGGGTAGGAGCTGAAGTTCACTGTATCTTAAAATCCTCGATCATTTGTATATTAAAGGAATCATATTCTCAGTTAAGTTAAATTAATAATGAAGTTACGTTCCAATGAATAGCAGATGACATCATAACATTGTGTACCGTTAATTTCGTAATATTTATAATAACCTCAATCATGCATTTGCCAATCTTTTGTATTTTGCAGCAAGATGTCGTGTACTGCCTGAGAAACCGAAACATGGTCTAGTGATAGCACCTAAAACAGATCATGGAATGAAAGCTCTTTTTTTATGCAAGGACGGATATCAGCTAGTGGGACCTAATGTAACTGAATGTCATTACGGAGAATGGATTCTACCCACTCCAATGTGCAAAGAGAGTAAGCATTCCAGTTGGAATCATTTATTCACTTTATTATGCTAACAAAGATTCATTTTGAGAAGATCATCGTTAAATCTCATTTAGTCAGTTTTATTAAAAGTTTGTTTAGTTAAAACTAAACAATGGTTAAATGTGAAGTCATAGTTTCTTTAATCAGACGACATTAACTATGGTATGCCACTTTTTAAATGTTTAACTGCTTAAAAATTCGCCTGTTTTAAATTTGTTTTTTTGAGGTTTTACAATTATTGCTTCTTATAAGACAGGTTATGTAATATAATAATCAATTCAATATGCTATCCCGGAAATTTTAAGCGTAGTCAACTGCCTTATTTAAACGCATCAGCAGCGAGAAAGATATTCCATCGTTACAAAATTTAATAAGATTAATAAATTAAAACTTTTTAATTTAAACAGAGTAAATTTTATTGTCTTTGCCTAAATTATCAGTTTAAGTAAGAGCATATGCTACGTATTAGATTCTAAAGCTGTAACGACTGAATAAAATGTCACTATAACACAAGAATTCTAGGGAACGTAACTACAATGAAAAATATTCTTCGAGTATCTGAGCACTAAAAGTGGCTGCTACTGCTATACACCGAAGTGGTGTTTCACTAAGTATTTCACTGCACCAATACCAAATATAGTTCCTGGTGCAGTGAAACGCATGGAATGTTCTTTTGCACTACTTTATGAAAAGTAGCCGCCACCACGTTTGCAATTCAGTTGCACTAAAATATATAACTACAATAAAGCATTATATACACAAATCAGTAGAGTTACATTTATGATTCAATATAAAGCAAGATTTATATATACAATGCTTCTTAAGATAAAATTAGTTTGTTAATAAAACATACACCCAGCACAGACAGAATATTTCTATGAATTCGAAAACAAAATCGAAACGAATAGAAGTTAAATATTATAATATTACTTTATACAGATGACAGATTTATGTCAATCTTACTTGTACATAAATATCTTTATTTTAAAAATATCCTTGCATTTTATGTCAGATCATCCATGCACTATCATGTCAAATAATTCCGACTAGAAGATTGGAATTACTTGACAAATAATCAACCATAATGATAATTCTTGATAAACTAGTAAATATGATCGAAACTTACTTGTTATTAATTAGGCTATGACCAGTTTGTCAACTCATTCCGACCAGAGAAACTCACATGATACACTTCATGTAAACAAACCGCCATATTGTTAATATCTCGTAAATGTTCTTGATTATTCGCCTTTAAAACTTCTAATAATGGTCCAAAAGCAATTGTTATGCATTTAAAACTGCCTTACCATCATTTCATACCAGAATTTAGTTTAAATATACACCAATTATTCGTCAAATTTACAAAGATCAATTATTGACGTTAAGCTTTAACTATGCTCTTTGATGTGTATAAGAATGTTTGATTCGGTATTAACTTGAAATGAGGTAATCATTCACGCAATTTTTAGAGTTTTTCAACGAACTCTTTTAGGTATTACACCACTGTTTTTACAGTATAAGACTTAATTTTCATTGCATACAAGAGCGCTTTTGAATTATCACTTATCACCTTATCAGAGCACTTACAAGTGAATTCTTAATTCTCTAAAACGTTTTTGATTTCCCCTTTTCTATAACAACAATTTTTCTTTATTGTAATGAGCATCTTAAATTTAACAAAAAGAATGTTTCAATGATGTTAAAGTTGTAGTATCACAACTTAAAGAGATATGGCATGACTTCATCTATAGTTTTATTTCAGTGCTTAACAACAAAACGCTTTTAATAGAAAAATAGAAATTCTCAACTGAGAACAAACTCTTCTTTTTTTCAAAAGGAAAAATGGCGACAAAGAAGAAAATCATAGATCGTGCATAGCTCAATACTCAGCTCGAAATACTGCTTGAGTCATCTTTGTTTTACAAAGTTTTGAAGAACCCATGTATTCTATTACGTTACATAGTGTCTCATCATTTATTTACATTGGATCAAAGAACAATAAAAATCAAAACTATAGCAATTCAGTCTTTATGACAAGACAACTCAGTCTTGTTTCTCTTCAGTCAGTCTTGTCTAGTTTCAAACTACTGAACTGCCTGAAAAACTCGAACGAAACATTGGAAGATTTGTTACAAAAATTTTCTGTTTGATTATTTTCCTCTTTTTTAAAAAAAACAATTGATTTGAGATAAATTCCATTAAAAAACGCAACAATGTTACTTGTAGCACGTGAAAACATTACAAAAGTATATATAATTCCCTAATCTTTTATTTACAAAACATAATAATCGAAATAATTTTTTTTTAAATTGCGGAATACTTTAAAAAATAATATATTTCTAAGACTTATTTAAAAGGAACATTTTGTGTTGTCATAGTATTATTTTTGTATGCAAACAATTCTCAAATTCTTTTTAGAAAATTTTCCATAAATTTACTATGCATATTAATAGCAAAATTTTTAAAAAAAAACATAACATGGCGATACATTTCTCAATGGTGTTTAAAAAAATTCGCCAAATAAAATCTCGTTAATGCACATTGTTAGAAGGACCAAAATTCGAGAAACAAAATTTTACGTAGAAAAATCCCAAGAATGCATACTGAGATTACGGATTAGAATTAATTCCTAATATTCTATTTTATAAAAAGTAGGATTAATACTTATAGTAATATTCTCAGAAGTGAAATCCCTTCGCGACCTAATGTCGTTTTCGGAGGGGGGGGGGTATGAGGATACAAAATTTTTATTATTTAATTTTTATTGGATATGGCTTGCAGCAAGGGTTATAATAATAATGGAAGTTATTTTGGGAAAACTTGTAATTCTTGAAGATAAAGAATGATATGCTTATTTAAACGACGTAAATAATTTAAATACTTATTGAATTTTCAATCGAAAGACAGTATAAAAAATATCTGAAACTCGAATAAGAAATACAGCTTTTTGAGTTGACAAAGTACCCAGTTTGACGATTTTTCTTAAAAATACTACTCGAAGCTGCATGATAAAACTTAAAGCTGTACATACCAATCAAAATATTTTATTATACAGAAAAGCATGGAATATAGTTATACACATTACATTTATAAACAATCCCGTAATAAACATGCCCTGAACAGGATCCTGTAATGATATTTTTAACATGGATTTATCTTTGTATAAACGAGTTTTATAATTGAATATCAATTTTTTTTAGATTGTTCACACAATTTATTCTTCACACAATTTCTTGATATTCGGTGAAATACGCAAAAATTAAAATTAACACAAAAGAGACAAATCTTTTAATCGCTCTTCTGTCTAAGGACCTGTTTAAACTATTGTATATTCAGATGGCATCTACTCCTAGTATTTTGAGCGTCAAAATTCCAAATCCATCTCTAAAAAGACATGATTATTTTGAGAAAGTATGTACTTAACTTACTTCCTCTGAATAAACTTACCATGTTCTTCGTAGCTTAAATAATCGTCTTCTCTTATTAATTAACATATTTTAAACCCTCGAACATTAAGGATAGCATCCTGTTTAACATCCTACACTGTGAAAAATTTCGGATCAAATTACCGTATGAAGCACTTTTGGGTGCACCATCCATAAACTCCATTTTACTGCAAAATACATTTCTACCGTAATATATTATACCTTAATTTTTACAGTGGTATTTATTTTATTTGAGTAATTCGGGGGTTTTAAGATAATTATCACTGTAAAAATTAAGTTATATCAGATTTTTATTCCATAGAATGTTTCAGTAAAAATGGATTTCACGGTAAAAAAAACATCGGCACCCTGAGGACCGATATTTTTACCGGAATTTTTTACAGTATATATTCTCGAACACCCTACGTTATAATCCTATCATTAGGTCAAAAGTTGTATAACGTTTTCATTCTTTCTGCACTGTTCTTTATTTCTTTAAACCCAAAGTTTATTCACAGCATACTTTAAAACGACACTCATTACGCTTAAGGGGGGTCAGGACCCTTTAACGCCTTAAACGATACAATGAAATACCATATTTTCGACACACTGTAACTATCTTTGAATTTATCCTAANTCATTAAAAATGAGAGAATTACGCCGTTCCAAGTAAATTTAAAAAAATATTTTATAAAATAGCTGAGATAAGAATAAATAATGACTGCATTGTTTCTTAATGTAAATTCTTTTCGGTACATTTTTTAAGGTGTCATCACAAAAGAAATTATCTTAATATCAAATTTAATAGTTCATTTCAGTATTAAGCTGAGAAATTAAAGAACCCATTCAATGAAGCAATTAAAATGGTTTTCCTTTTTTAATAAGATTGACAGTTAATATTTACTTAAAATTCATATTAGTTTTAAGATAATAATAATGCTCAAAAAAACTTAATTTTCCTCGTTAATTTAATTCACTTCTCATGAGCTTTCTTAAATCTTAATGAGCGCAATTTCAAGCTGTTTATACCTGAAGAAAATTATCTTTTTCTTATTTTAATAACATTCGTTATTTTAATGACGAATATTGCAGTAGTTTACAGCAATGCACGTTTAATTAAAATTAATTGCAATAACTTGTGACTTAGTTGCATGCATTCCAAACATTTTCGTAAATAATCTATTAACCTTCCAGATTTAGTTTATTAAGAGATATTTTTTTTGGAAAAAAATATATTTATCGCATTCATTAGAAAATAATTATGTTATTAGGCATATTTCAAAAAATAAATATTAAACTAAATACAATTTCGGATTTTTTTCTTATGAATATATTTTATTTTAATTTATGCTGTCTACTTTTCTTAGGTAGAGCATTTTATTTACAGAGCATATTATGATTGAAGAGATTAATAAAAAACACGTTAAATGACAATATTAATTAATTCTGCCAAATCCTCAATTAAGTCGGTTCCCATTTAAAAGATATGAGATACATAGTTTTCGATTCTCAACATTCTACTGTTGCTTTTTTAATTCTCTAAAACATTACTTGAATATTATT